TCTGAAGCAGAGTATTTCTTCAGGTCAAACACATCCAGATCTTTTTCTGATGACAGTAAGATGAAGACCAGAGCTGACCACTGAGCAGAGGACAGTTTATCTGTCGAGAGACTTCTTGATTTCATGCACTTTTGGATCTCCTCCACTAGAGAATGATCATTCAGTTCATTCAAACAGTGGAACAAATTGATGCTTTTCTCTGCAGACAGATTCTCACTGATCCTCTCCTTAATATACTGGAGTGTTTTCTTATTGGTCTGTGAGCTACTTCCTGTCTTTGTCAGCAGCCCTTGTAGAAGAGTCTGATTGGTCTGCAGTGAAAGACCCAGGAGGAAGCGGAGGAGCAAGTCCAGGTGTCCATTTGGACTCTGTAAGGCCTTGTCCACACCACTCTGGTGGAGATAATGGAGTTTTGGTTCATTCAATAATTTAGATTTCTTGGTGATTGTTTGTTGTTCTTCCAGCAGATTGACTGCAGAGTTGATGAAGGTCAGATGGACATGAAGAGCAGCCAGAAACTCCTGAACACTCAGATGGATGAAGCAGAACACCCTGTCCTGGTACAGTCCTCTCTCCTCTTTAAAGATCTGTGTGAACACTCCTGAGTAGACTGAGGCTGCTTTGATATCGATGCCACACTCTGTCAGGTCTGATTCATAGAAGATCAGGTTTCCTTTCTGCAGCTGATCAAAAGCCAGTTTTCCCAGAGACTCAATCATCTTTCTGCTCTCTGGACTCCAGTGTGGATCTCTCTCAGCTCCTTCATCATACTTGACCTTCTTCACTTTGGCCTGAACCACCAGGAAGTGGATGTACATCTCAGTCAAGGTCTTGGGCAGCTGTCCTCCCTCTCTGGTTCTCAGCACATCCTCCAGAACTGTAGCAGTGATCCAGCAGAAGACTGGGATGTGGCACATGATGTGGAGGCTTCGTGATGTCTTGATGTGGGAGATGATCCTGCTGGCCTTCTTATCTCTGAATCTCTTCCTGAAGTACTCCTCCTTCTGTGGGTTAGTGAACCCTCAGACCTCTGTCACCATGTCAACACAGTCAGGAGGGATCTGATTGGCTGCTGCAGGTCGTGTGGTTATCCAGAGGCGAGCAGAGGGAAGCAGTTTCCCTCTGATGAGGTTTATCAGCAGCACATCCACTGAGGTGGACTTTCGAGGGTCAGTCAGGATTTCATTTTTAAGGAAGTTCAGAGGAAGTCGACACTCATCCAGACCATCAAAGATGAACACAACCTGGAAGTCTTCAAAGTTGCAGATTCCTGCTTCTTTGGTTTCAGTAAA